GTAGCAGCACCACTGTATTTGATTAAAACTGGTGACATGTATGCAGATGTAATTACAACTGTCTGATATTTCGACTGTTAATAACAATTTTGCTTTCTCAGAACTTTTTCAAATATTACTCGCACAAAAAGTAACTGAACATTTCTGACCACTTTCTTCAATAGAGCGTTTCTTGAACGACAACGGTCAACTGTTCAAAAAGCTCCCAGAGAGTTTTCTTCCCTTCAGCGCCGGACGTCGCGTCTGTCTCGGCGAAGACTTCGCCAAGAAGGAAATCTTCCTGCTCTTCACTTGGCTGTTTGGCCGGTACACCTTCTACAAGGTACCAGGGAAAGAATCCGAGTCTCTCTTGATTCTTAACAAGGTGGTGTCCTTGTCCCATCAGCCTATCGATGACATGGAGGTATGCGTCAAGAAGCGTTACTAGGCTCATCAAAGGCACTGACGTACACAGAGGCATGAAAAGTTTTAGCAAAGATTGCACCCACACCATTGCCAAAGCTAGTTCCTGTGTTTCGCTTCAAGATCACAGTTTTAAGCTTAAGTTACTTAGCGCCAGAACTCAAAACAAGAGCATATACATGAAGTCTTTTGATTTGATTACGCTTACGAATGCGATTTTTAGTGATGTCAAATCGCAAGTCAATTACTAGTTTAAATCATGATTCAATAATTAGTAAGATCACAAGTCAATCACAAATCAGTAGTAAGCCAGTCACAAGTCAAAGTATAAGTGAATAGTAAGTCTATTTTTCCCCTGAAAGTCATCATACTCCACATTTAATTTATTTGGAAGTCAGCATCTCCACATTGAAAACAACCAAAAGTCTTAGGTACTTCAGTTCACTGGCATAAAAAATGGACATGGATTTTTGTAGATATCCTAAAAATGTATGATATGCATATACATAAGCATTTCAATCGCAGCTTGTAGGGCGTACACAAGAGCATAAACAATAGGTGTTGCTTATTAATAAAATATTCCTTGAATTGGATTTGTTAAATTATTTTCATCAGATTGATTTGGTGTGGGTAACGAATGATGTTCCTATTTTAGATGTTGATCTTATGGCTTTCGCTTTTGTTTTTGTTTCATGGTTTTATTTAAAAGATTTTGTGATTTTGTTGATAATTATACATGTATGTTTGTATTAATCAATAGGGCTGTCCCGAATATATAGCAACTGAAAATTCAGTTTCGTAAAATCGAAAGCCAATTTATTCGGAAATGGACTGTCCTAATAATTGTAATTAATAATAAGAGAAATGTAATATGCAAATGTTTCTTACGACCGCATTCAAGATGTACTCAAATTGCAATAAGAGTTAATTATTATATTCAGTTCTTGCCATGCAATTTAGGAAATGTAAACCACTGCATAAGTTGCCACTTTAGAAAATAATTCATGAAAAGATAGTAGTCATGTTAATTAAAACGAAGGAGGCATTTGTTTTAAGAAAGTAACCAACAGGGCCTATATACAATTTCTACGAGTATAGGCAAATAATTACTTCGCTATCCCTGATGTACAATATTTACTTTTTTACATTTGATTTCTGAACATGAATAATGAATGTTCATTGTTGTCGTACGCAGGGTGTATAGTGAGAACAAGTAAAAAAAAAAAACGACCGCAAAACAAAGACATATATTTCACATAAAATAAAACTATGCAGCATCAAAATTATTTATGACGCGGAAGCCCATTTATTTTACTATAGGTTTTCCCGGCTATTTTAAAACGTTTATCATTCGAATTCACCGTTTCTAACATTCAAATTCGTCAGTCAACATCGATTTAGTGCACTTCCAATGTTTAATTTCGTCTTTTGTCAAGCAATTTCAAATTCAGTTCAAGCAATTTCAAACAATGAGCACATGTTTTATTGATTTATATCAAACGAATTCGATCTCTGAACGCTGCCATTCGGCAACAGCTTAGACGAACTTGATCTGTAATGACGAATATTCTCGACTCAGTGACTAAAAGAGGGTGACCAAACTTTGAAATTGAATGGTAAATGACAAAATTGATTTTGTTAAAAACACGTGAAGTGTTTCTCGGACGAATTTGAATGTTAGAGTTGGTGAATTTGAATGAAAAATGTTTTAAAATAGCCGGGAAAACCTATACTTATAAGTGAGAAAATTATTCCAATTGCTCTTCACGCTAAAATGCTATCACTATTTAAACGAAGTAACCCTAAAATCAGTTCCTTAATATCAGTTTCTTAAAAATATATATATATGTTGTGTTCTGACTGTTAAGAACAACACATAAAATTACGCCGAGTACCTGTTTCAACAGCTGTTGTACACAATATCTTTATTCACAACCCTGCTTTGGCTAACAATAGGAATTATAAAATCCACTTTAGGAATTATAAAATCCAATTTTAAACTGAGGGTTTTTTTTTTGAGGGGGGGGGGCTGGTGATGTATGAAGACAATGTTAAACGACGATTCTTGAAATGGCACTTCTGGACAAAACACATGTTAGGCCCCATGTCGTTTAAATGGTGACAAAATTTGAACGGATTTAGCAATTGTTTGCCACAAAATGACGAGGAAAGGGACCACTGGATGACTTTTGACCTAAACATCCGATATTTGACTCTCAACAGGATTGCAATTGACCATGTTTTCTCGAAAAAGACCAATGCTACCCACGAGTGAGCAAAGGTGGCCTCAAAATTGGTTTCAGTGGGCTCACCTTTTTGTTTTACATGCGTTAGCAACGGAATCCAGATATGGGGAAATTGTGTGTACATTAATTTTTGCATGCCCTCGATGTACATTTGCATGTACACGATTTGCATGCCCTCAAAATCTTCAGTATTTGAGCATGCTGTGGGCCATAAATTTGAGGGTTTGTAAAAGATATGGGTGGAAGCCGTGCACAGGACTGTGAGCTTGTAGTTCCGTTCAATTTGGATGAAATTTGGCCCCTTAGAGCGTTCTTTTTTGCAATGGAGTGTAGGCATCGTTTTTCAAAATGGCGATGGTCTTCAGGACTATTTTTAGGGGTGATCATCTTCGGATGGAAATTTCTCCTAAAAGTCATTAGTTGATCCCAAAAAAATTGAAAAGAAAATGAAAGATGATGAAAACAGCTTTAATTTGATGTGTGTCTCGAACACCTTGGAGAGTTGTGAGTATTTTTCTCGAATTTCTGAAGTGGGAGCATTTACCATTTGGGTCTATGGAAGTTTATTTACTGGTCTGCAACCCTGTGCCATTCAGAAGATTCACAATGCTGTGCGCCACCAAGAGTTTGCAATGGAGAGTCAATTTTTTAAGTTTATGGTCTACAAACCATGGCCCATTTGAATGATTAATTTGCTATAGATCGGGGTATGGCGTTCTAACGCCTTACCAAAAACACCATATCTGATAAAAAGAAAAGAAAAGGGTTAACAGATTCTCCGTTATCTCGAATCATATACGCTTACAAAACTACAGACCGGAAAAACGAACAGTTTCAAATATCCCGCGCTGCAAATTTGTCGACCATCTCCCACAATGCACTGGGAAAAATGAACTCTCTGTGGCAAACTTTTGGTGGCACACTGCATTGTGAATCGCCCGAATTGTCCAGTTTCATTCCGAAAAAAAAAATCCTTGCTATTTTTGCTAGCGATGCAAACTTTGATCACTTTTGAATGCGACAAAATCGCTCCATGTTTAGGTTTTGAATTTCGAATTATTGGCATGCCAGACAATATTTCCATTCTCAAAGGAAAGGTTAGTTTCCGCCTCACAATCAGTATTAATAACGTATGGACCGAGAACCAGCCTTTCTGCAAAAGCAGATGTTAGTCTCCAAAACATTTTTTTTTTATTCAGAGAGTTGAAGATGTCCAAAATATAAATAAAATAAATATACAAGTAGAACATCTATTTTTTTTAACCGAATTTGGGAAATGCAACTTCAAGATTTTGAGCAATATTGCTGCTTCAAACGAAAGGGTGCACAAAGAGCATGGGATCTTATTCTCCGATCTGATTTGGTGCTTTAGGGTGAAATTATTTGTTGCCCTCAGAAAACCTACAACATAAATTAGTCCGAAATTATCCCTTCTGACAACTATATACGTGACAATATGTTTGTTGTAAAAGTTGTGCCGCGTATGCAGATCGTTAAAAGACTAAGGAGAATTAGTTAGGTTTTTTTTCCTGGGAATTGAACTACTGCCTGTATTCTGTTATGCCAACTCAAACGCGATAATGCGATCTCTGCATTCTATTCACCCATAGCGGCTTTATCCCGAGTCGATATCGTGCCCTTGTTGGAAATGCAATGTTATGCACATATTCCGACCTTGATAGAGCAATCTGGAGCCCATTGCAATGGCTATTTGGTTATTCAAGTTTAATCAGGGAAATGCATGTTGGCCTTAATTATTCGTAGTTAACATTGCTAAATCGGCATTACGAATCATGATGTATATTTATTGATGAGTAAGGAGGAACCATTTTCTAACGGGTTGTTTCAAAATCAACTTTAAAAACAAATCATTTAGAAGTTCCCCTCACACCACCACTGAGTCTCACCGGTTTTGTAGTTCTGTCGTCCCATGTCGAAAACACTAATTAATTAGTATACGAGTCACCATACGGCTTCTGTTTATATGATTCCTACACGGCAGACTCTCAGATTGAACCTTCTGGGGCTAGATGCAAGAAACCTCCTCGTGTATTTGTGGATGTAAGTCAAACCAAACTGCAATTTACACCCAACGAGAAAGGAAATTCCATTGTGTTTTCAAACCTGCACTTGTAAGTATGTACGTTTTGCATTCCTTGTTTGACTGATGCAACAGGATTTCATTGCAACTGAGCGATATTTCATTTAAAAAAAAAAATTCTTTCAAACTCTAAAGAACTGACCATAGAACAACCGATGCATCATGTAAATGCCTAAAAGACTAGGATTGATCTGTTATGCACCACAAAGCTATTCATTGGTAAATGTGTTTAAATTGTTGTTTACATATAGGTCTACCACAAGACTGCAAGGGATCCGGAATTCGACCCACCATACATCTCAATTGGTAAGCTGTAAAATCTAACTGAGTGCACAGACATGTACACAACCTCTGTACATGTACACCTAACGAAAATGTCAAAAACTATTTAAATAAACAAGCAAGTGACGGTTTTCTTTTGAGGCTTTGGTACACCTATTTTACTTTATATTGTTAGCAGGGGGCGTAGCAAGGTCAGTTTTATCGGGAAAGGGTACTTATTTGTTGAAAAGGGCACCTGCACAACCGTGCTGAAATGTAGACTCGTTTTTGAAATGTAGACTCGGATTTTTGCGCTGCAGGTGAAATAGGAAAATCAAAGGGAAAATGCAGTTTTTACAAAATCCCCCCTCACAGCCCCCTCCCCCCGCCCCCGATGCTCTGCTACACCTATGGTTAGACAACGAAAATACGTAATCAAAGTGACACCAACCCTTATCTTCTTTCTGTTATCTTCCATTTTAGAGCGTCTAGTATCAGAGCGAAATGGCTGTCAATGTCGAAGATGCGCTACAGTATTCTATGACCGGCATCTGTACCTTGGCTGTGATCGAGAATCTCATTGCAATTGCAGTGTTTGCTGGGACCCAAAAGCTCCGCATCAAGTACTACACTTTTGTGGTCAACCTGGCGCTGGCTGACTTGATCTTCGCCCTTTTTACAATACCATATCCCTGGCGCCCAAAACCAAAAATTCTTCAAGGTTTTTTCACCGGAGCGTACACCGTATCCCTACTGACTTTTCCGGCCGTCGCTGTCAATCGTTATCTGGCCCTGTCCCTTATGCCACCGGCTCGCTACGATTCACTGGTGACTGGGCGTCGAATGATCGGAGTTTGTATCCTTTTCTGGTGTTTGAGTTTCGTGTATGGCTTAGTGATTTATAACGCTGTCCCAAAAGACGTTTATTACCTGGTTAATTTCCTTGGATACTCACTGGCAGGGTGTGTCGTGTTGGCTATCACCGCTCTTGTTTATTTCCTGGTTTTCCGTAAGATCAAACAGTATACTCCACCTCTTGCATCCGCGGCGGGCATCAGTGCCAACGAGGAGCGAGATCGAACCCGAGTCAAGCAGACTCGTCGTTTACTGGTCATGTTTGTTCTCATTCTGGTGGTGGCATTCATTACTTGGTTTCCCTGTTTCGTGCTAAGGATGATTGCAATCTTAAATCCATCTCTTGGGCTTGATGAGATCTTCCAGATGTGGATTTGGGTGTCTTACTTGCTGTACACCCTCTCTCCAGTGATCAATCCGTGGATATACTGGTGGCAACTGGATGGTTTCAGAGAGGGGTTTTATGCCATGTTCTGTCGCTGTATCATTAAGGCTGAACCTAGCGAAATTGAAGCTGACCTGAAAACAGTTGCTGAGACTGGTTTGTAAAAGTAGAAGTTCATTATCTCGGGAGGAATTTCCATATTTTAGAGCAAGTCGAAATTCGAGACAACTTCCAGTTACAGCAAAAGAGCAACCTCTTTCTATTATGATTTTTTTCGTCCGTAAATCCACAACTTTTGTTTTTCACTAAATTTCGAAAAGGTCAAAACTAAATTGATTCCCACGAAATTAAAGTATAATAATGGTAATTTCCCTCAGAATCTGCACTAGAAACCAGAGTTTTTTGTTATTTTGTATCGAAGTGTAATACACAATTTTCTTGATAATGGATGTCTTTTTATAAACAAACTCTGTTAATATCATTTTAATTGTCAATAATAAACTCTTTAAAGTTCCAGCACAGATTCGACCGAAACAGCGTCCTGAGACTCTTTTGAGGTCAAACGGCTTTTTTTTCCTCGTCAAAAACAAATTTGGGTCAAATTATTTTGTTTTCGGGTCAAGTGGCCCGTAGTAAACCGTGACCAAGTGCACGAAAGGTCATTTTGAACCGCAACAGGTCCAGGTCAAATCTGACCCGGATTTGGATCTTATCCTGTCCAGTGTGCTTTAAATTGTGTAGGCTGTAGGCTTCTGGCAAGAAGTTAGTACATTATGTTAATTATGGAGTCGGTTTACAGGCTATATAGGTGTTTTAATTTGTGGTGGTTAATGTTAAGCAATATTGGCTGAACCTTATATCAGGATCTGGGTATTTTGGATCTTCTCAGGACCAGTGTACACACTGAGCCTCCCACCACCATGTTCCTGATTTGGGGTTTACGGGAGATTTTTGTCCGGAATGCGCCCCTTTGGGCACTACATTTTTTTTGAGAAGTGATAATATTTCAAATTATATATATATCATAAGCTTTGATTAACATACCAAATGGTAACACTTATTTGATTCGTTTACAGTTACACAAAAAAAGGTACGTTGAAGCATACTTTTAGACAATCAGTTTTTAATTTCCAACTGATCTTAAAGGGACTGCGTCATGGAATGAAACCAATTGTTGAACGAAATGTTGTTAATCGGAAAGAACAAGTAGGGTATAAACATCCTAAACAGGGCGTTTTTTGTTTTATTCTTGTGTTATGCGTGTGACAACGACTTTTGGGGTCCACCTTTGCGACCCCAAAACGTTGTTCCCGCATTGCACCCTTTGCACCGTAGCCAGTATGATAATCCTCGGGAGCTCTAGCTCCTAAGAGGGATGTCCTTTTTGGAAGAAGAAGAAGAAGAAGAAGTCGGGCATTTCATGCTAGTTGTGATCCCAACCAACATGCTAGTTGTGATGCGGACGTGTAAGGTACCACATTTGTGCATTATGTGCTGTGTGTCAGAAGAAGAGTAAAGATATGTGATAAACTCTTTGGTGGACGGCGAGGGGGGGGGGCGCAATACTCATATAATTCAGTCATAAAATATAATGCCCCTTCACGGGTACGCAAATAGGAGAATCAATCGTTATGTGATGGTAGGAATGTGAATTATCCATGCAGAAAAGAACTGGTAACATGCCAGTGACAGCTTTGAACTGCATGGGCCTTATGCACGAGTCGGCCATATTGAATTGAAACTGAGGTAAAATGTTATTTCTTGAACTTGCGAAGAGAAATAAAAGCAAGTTAATTACTAATTAACTCGAGTTTGCTTCAATGAATAATTTACATTTTATAATTAAACATTCCATAATGTTTTAAGCCAGATTAAAAAAACAAATGACAGTAAGATAAGGCTGCATAAGGCCTGCATCAATAGTCTTGCGCCATCCCATTCAACAGTTAACAATTAATGAAATACAACTCGTCCATAAGGCCCATTAACACAGATATAAAAGTACAGAATAACAGCGCTTGGCTAATTTGAATGTTCCCAATAATTCATTACCATGCATGTCTTTTTATATTGTGAGACAACAAAAAAATTGACATCGTCCGATTGGTCAACCTCATCCCAAGGGCCTACTTTATTTTCAAAGCTCGGTCATAATAGTAGCCCCTGAGTGGGGAAATAGCTGTCTGCATCTTAATTCGACACCACAACAGCAAGTAATGGATTTATATCGTGTAGGTGGTGATTTTATCTCCAATGTGTATCACGTGTGTTGAGGTTCATTGTGAATTATTACGTCCGATCCTCCTAGATGTAGCATAATACTTCATATCGGAACAGTATATCGTTTGGGGAAAAAGTGTTTTCTGATCTCACCCCGGAACGATTTGATTCCGTCTGTACCCAGACACCGCACACAATAACAAGCACTAATTTAATGCATGGTGGCCAGGCACAAGACTATTCCGTACCTAATCGGCATGTCCACAAGATTTTTGAACATGCAAAATGATCCAGCTTCAAGGTGAGAGCGCAGGCAGTGGGATCGGAGCGTACTGCTCGACATCGTGGCGACGAGGTTGCCCGCTTGTTGGTTTTACTAGACCATTCCTGGTACGCTATCAATTCTATCACGAAGACCCCTTTCAAATAGATAATCTACCAGGGGCCAGTTGCTCTGTACAATAGCATGCACAATGGTTTCTCCATTGAAGGGGGCCTTGTGAGTGTACAGTGATCACGTGCCCGGATTCGTTTATACTACCGACTTCAATGTGAAACATGTGGCATGATTCAGGTGAAAAAAATACAAATTTAAGACCTTAATGGAGAGTAAACACTATCCCAATATCGATCTCGTCTAATAAAGGCCGCTCCATGCTTCAATCGTTCATGCCATGCGAGTGCGAAGCGAATAATATAACGTCACGAGACGTTCGCAGCAAAATTCGCAGGAGTTGAAATGTGTTCAAGTTTTGCGAATTCGCACTAATACTTGCCGTAATATTACAAATTCGCGTTCGTGTTTGCTTATGTACTGCGCATGATGAACCAGCCTTTACTCTCTAAATTCCAAAGAGTGAAATTAGGAACTAGACGTTTAAGAGTGAAAATCACTCTCATTTTCGATTAAAATAGTCTGAAAAAAGAACCACTTCAGTCGAAGCTCGAGTGAAAACTCGATCTTTACGATTGAAGAAATTTCACTCTAAAACGTCTAGTCCCTAGTTTCCGACTGTGGGAGTGAATCTTCACTCGATTGGAGTGAATTTGCACTCTTTGGAATTTAGAGAGTAAGCACAAGCTTTTCATGGTGACACGTTTTTACCTGGGAAGAATCCAAGACTGAAGCTCAACATGGCGGTCACCAGCTCCATCCAAGCGAATGCACACGCCAATAGATCAGTACCAAGCAGCTCCCTGGTGTACAGATCGCTCAGTGCGACGAGTACTCCACGCCCGCCAAAATAGACAACTGCATCGATCATCATGAGCCAGTAGGAGTTCACCCACGGAGTTATCAGTAGAGACGAAGAGCACAATGTGATCATCAGCACCATCGCCGGTCGCATCCTCAACAAACCCCGGTCTACGACAGGACCAAACACGGCCTTGAAAACGATAAGGGGTACGGTTTGGGCTCTCTTGTTTTCAATATGTATTTTTTTTTTCAAACTTGTTTTAGCACTATCGATCGAATTGGATTTACTCTTTGTAACTTCGTGTTGTGCTTACAATGTACTTTTCTCTGCCGGATTCACGCACTTTTAATAGGATTTTAGACCCCGTGTAACCCATTTAGTTCTAAACGACACCTATTTCAGGCGTTTCAACTTCAGCTATATTCGCTTTTAAAATTTCCCTTCTCTGATATTGAAAAGAGGGAAACTTTGTAAACAACCTGACTAGATGGCCATTTTCGTCCAACAATTTGGGTTTTTTTTAACTGTGGGAGCAGAACTGAAAGTTATTAAGAAATTGCCCCGAGATAAGAGTTCACAAAACAATTCTGCTCTAGAGTTTAACATACTGATCGAGCTAATAAATAACCTGCGAACATAAAACCTGTTCATTTTTAATTGGACAAAATTGCAATGAAGAGGTTTTGGCATCCTGATGAGAGATATTGACAAAACGCTGGAATATATCAAGAAAGAAGTACCATAGCCTGCACTCATTGTGTGCGAAATGTTTCTGGCTATGTCAATAGAAGGCGCTGTTTTTCTTATGTTTCTTATTGGAACAAATTAGTTCGGCAAACACTGCTCTATAAATTCTATTGGTTGCGTTTTTTTTCCTGTTTAACAAGGCTAATATCATTAAGCAATTAATTATGAGCGTAAACAAGGCCCGTAAATATTCTTCTCAGTGCTGTGCATCGTTGGTATGTGCACAATCTGTTGGTTGTACATGGACATCCAACAGCCGCGTATACAGTCCATTGCCGACTCGACGGCCGTTGCATGTCCAAATCACTGCATATGTGACGTCACTTATCTGCTCTTGGTATCCAGGTCCACCGCCAAGAAACCATAAGACTATCCAATTCGAATTCCCCAAGGTGTACCCTTTCCAAAAATACCCACTAAACACTTGGTCATTTCCACACAAAAAATGACCCCTGGCTCTTGGACTGCAGTGTTCGTGGGACGGTGTTCCCGCCGTCCGCGCGCAAGAACAATAAAAAATACCCGCGTCAAGAACTGATGACCGCCCGCGTAATTTTTTTTTCCTAGGAGGGTTAGGGGCAATGTCATGAATAATTCAGTTTTTCACTTGAATCATTGCAAGGCTTAGGTTCTCGTTCTATTTTCCCCTTAATTTAAAATTATCTCAGTGATAAATTTGGAGATGAAAAAATAGCTGATGAAAATGAGCAGCGACGACGTGGATTCGAACCAGGGATCTTTGTATCCATAGTTCATCTCGCTATCCACTAGGCTACTGTGTGGTAGCTCGACGACAACCGTTCTTTAAAATGCTTTAATGTATTGTAACTAGTTGTGTACCTAACAACAATGCTGTTGATGTCATTGTCCGTTCTCATGGATAAACATGAATTATTCATGACATTGCCCCTAACCCTCCTAGGAATAAAAATTACGCTGACCGCCCGAACTCGGACGGCCATTGCATGAGAAAAAGTTTCTGACTATGTCAATAGAGGGCGCTGTTTCTTATTTTTTTTCTCATGTAGAATTTTCGGCGTTTTTATCCCAAATTTCTCTTTCCCAAACAAGTTGTGGATCAGGGAACAAAGTTTTTTCGATAGGACACACCATAATGTACATGTCTGTAAAGTTTTATAAAATTCGGCGAACCAGACCGCGTGGCTAGCGAAAAAGGGCATCGTCCCACGAACTAACAGCTTCATAGTCTGATCTAAATGACGTTAAAATTTGTTAAAGTCGACTCCGATTTGTTGGCGCGAGGGGCCGCATACAATTTGCATTGCTTACATATATATCAGACGTTGGTTACGGAGATGTATCCGTTGTGCACATGGTACTCAGACTGTTTCCGCTGGATGATTTGTTTTCCGAAAATATTTTCTTCTGTTTTGAAAATCAGAGTGATTTGCATTCTGATTCGTAAAGTCTATAGTTTCACTCTGAGCATATACAATTATATAAATTTCCATTTGTTTTTAATTAAAAGGCAGAAATAGTATGCCGGGTAGCACGATGTATATTTGTCGATTGAGTGAGGACCGAATAATTTCTTATCTAACAGGGTGAAAACATTGTGATTTAATGACAAATCGTCTGAATCATTCCTACTTGACTCGTCTGCGTGCACGCTTATTCTGATCGCAAGGGAGCCATTCGGTATCCTGACGTTATGTTGTGAACAAATCAATGCTCAAATTATGCAACTCTGGGTTAGTGCTTCCCACCGAAATAATGGACCGATCCAGTAAGCTCCGCCCAGTGCGCACGTGGGCAAATTAACACGTGCTCCTCTCCAATGCCACGCTCACTGATCTCTATATAAAGACTGGATAGCTAATACAGAGCCGCACAATGTACGAATTTGACGCCATATTGGTGAGACCGGCTGGTGATCTACAAAGGACATGTTGCCGTTTTTATAGACAGCATGATTTCTTTTGTAACGTCGCGGTTCACTTGACTTATATTTTTACCACCATCACTGATCAAGGTTAACTACAATTTTTCTAACGTCGTGGTTACTAAAATGCCGCAAATATAACTTTTTCGGCGTTTTGAAATAATAATCACTACGGAAATGTGTCCCTTTTAGAACATCATAATATGTGTACGTGACCAAAATGCGCGTCAACTGTTGATACAACGCGCGCGTATTTACGCGTAGAACGTTCGTATTATACGCGGCCATCTTCGTGAGACCGGGGGCGAATTGGTCAATGTGCGAAGTCTACTGTGTGAATGTTGTATGCATATCCGCTATCCAGTCTTTATATAGAGATCAGTGGCCACGCTGCATTTTCCTTCCGCGCGCATCATACGCGCGTGCACGCATGTCGGACTTTAGTGCACGCACGTTGGACATAAATCACGGCTGTGATTGGTCAGAACACCATAGGGCGGTGCTTAGTGGATCGGTCCATACGGCAAGCATTCTGACTCTCTGCGAACCATTTCAGTTTTTGTCCAGATAATTTCTTGCCTATGGAGCACAAACTTACAACACGGCCTTGAGTTCTCGGAGTGTAGAACTCTCTTTTGTTTTACTTTCTGGCCATAAACCTGTGCATGTTGAATCGGTGAAATCTACTACAAAACCGCCATAACCAGACTCGCAAGCGTCTGAGTACACTGCAGAAGTTGTGCAAAAGAACGCCTTCATAGGTTGACCGTTAATGTCAACTAGATTGTTTGTGCCAGAAATCCAACTCTAAAACGTAACTAGGAGAAAGCAAATTTTATGTGACCAATTGTTGCGTGATTCGATAGCTCTGTGCAAAATTCTTGTGAATAGTCTGGCGATCGATCGAGAGCGGGGGAGGCAGATACCATAAACCTGCGATTCGTGCAATCTCACGTACGGGAACTAGACTCAAACTTCTTTCTAACCATTCACGAATGGCCGTCCGAGTTTTCGATAATTTGTTTTGTCTGGAAGTCTTAATTTCGGTATCGATAAATTAACGTTAGCAATGCGAGACGTATTCAATTCAATTCAATTCAAAGTAACGTTTATTTCCACATAATCATAAAGAAAAGTACAATAAATATAAACAGATGTGGAGGCACGTTCCACAAAAGTGGGGCTTGTCAAGGAACAGCCTGTTTACAAAAAAAAAAGTAACAGCTTCACATTAAACGAATACACATATCAACAGTGTGTATACGTGTACGACGACCAAAATAAGAAAAGATATGATTCAATAAGAAAAAAATAGTAAACCAAAATCAGAAAAGTAAAGTAAGTGGGGCTTACTGAGGTGACTGGTGGATTAACAAAGACTTCAGTTTGTGTTTGAAAAAAGCGAGTGATTTACATTCAGACCGTATCTGACACGCGAAACGGTTTGTATCGCGTGTCAAAATGCGGACGTCGTACGGGCAGAAGAAAATGTATACAGTCGAACCCTGATAAGAAGAGCACTGTTAATACAAGGGCCTGCTTATAACAAGCACAATTTGAGGTCCCAAGTCTTTGTTTTTCTTTGTTTTTCAATACTGTTAATACAAGGTACCTGTTTTAACAAGGTAATCTGTTAAGTCCCAAGGACCTTGATATAAAGGTGTTCGATTAATGCGGCAGGTGGATTGCTGCATTTCCGCGCGGGTTGTGCGTGCGAGCGCACGGACGGTGTGGTACTGATATCAAGTTCTGCTGTGGACAATGCTATACCTCTGACGTGGCTATTTTTCCCTTAGCACACACCCATATTTAGCTTCAGGCAAGGTTGTTTGGTCATTTAAATGGTGAATGGTTGACCTCCCGACAATTCTAATAATAATAATTCACGGGACTTTGTGTGTGAAGTATGAATGAGTGGATAACAGCAGTCTGCACTCTGGGATTTTCATTATACAGTTAAGGCACAATCCACAGACACTGTCGACCTTGGCACCCGATTAGTCTGATACAATCATTAATTCCCAGCCCAATTCCAAAGGTCAACGCTACATTAAGTGACGGATCTACATGGGGATTTAGGCGGTCTAATTGGGTTTTTCACTCTGGGCCATATTGAAAACCCAATTTAAAACAAAGTAAACTTTACTCCAAAGAGTAAAAACGCACTCGAAAAGAGACGTCCCCGCATGGCTCATGAATTTTCAATCGTCCACATTTAGAGAGTACTGTTTTTCTCATTTTGTTCGATCGATTGCATGTACACGCACGTCACATCGATTCGCTCGTGAAACCTAGCTCGAAGACAAGGCTTCAGTATGGGCGAGACTGAAGCTCGTGGTCGATCTCACCAGGGCTGGTTTGCAGTTCTCTGCCTGTTTGCCAGCTACTTTCTGTGGGTATTGCTCATCAAGGGTCTGGGCGTGATGTTGCCGACACTACAGGAGCAGTTCGCGGCCCAAACTTGGCTTGTCGGATGGATGGTGTCCATTATTACTGCAGTCATATGTGTTACGGGTAACCTTTCATCTTACTTTTCCATTCATTGTAAAGAAATGAGCAGTGAGGATTCAGGACGAACACTGGAATCTTCCGTTTCTGTAAAAATCAAACGGTTGGGTACTATATGAACCTAGCAACCTGTTGTGTAAACTGTTGTTTACACAACTTGTGTAAAATCTTACACAACTTGTTCATTTTTTTACACAACTGGTTGCTAGGTTCATATAGTGCACAACCGAAATAACAGTGTATTTAAAATATAAACATTCAAGTGTTCAACCTTCACTGTCACTGGTACTCTGCACCCGTACCTGTGTAGGTGAATAATGGTGAAATGTCAGTGGTGACGATTTAGGATGAATCCACGCATAGACACTAGGGACCATTGGAAAAGCGTGCGATATGGGCCTTATTCATGAGTCGGCCATACTGAATTGAAAGTTAGGTAAAATCTTAAATTTTGGAACTTGCGAAGAAAAATGAAAACAAGTTAATTTGTAATAAATTCCAGTCTGCTTCAATAAATAATTTAAAATGTGTGATTAAACATTCCCTAATGTTTAAAGCCATATGGGTCATTCCACCGGGTTGGGGAACAAAGCGTGGCATATGACCATATTAAGAAAAGCATGGATGCCTTGCTAGCAGTTGCTCTACATAATATTATTTTGTTGTTGGGTGTTTCACTACTGCAGACAGTTTGAAATCATTTCAATGTATTTTGCCAAAAAAATGAGCAAAAAAATCTCATTTTGGATGTAACATTGACAGCGTGTCAGTGTTGCGTCCAAACATGACATTTTTAACTTTTTAAAAAATGTCTGCGAAATATTACTTTGCGTACTTCTTACTATAGATGCACCACAATAAAAAAAGCTTTTGTTATGGTAGTCGGACATCAAATGGAGCAGAAATGATAACTTGTTTGTGTGGATGTAACATTTACACGGTTTAAAACCCTATGTCACACTTCCATTGAGTGATTTTTACACCGTTACATCCACAATTGAGGTATTGTTTCTGCCATATTTGAGCCCTGACTATACCAAAACAAAAGTTTGTCTTGGTGCTTAGGTGTCCATTTGTAAATATGCAATGTCAGTTTGGGTAACATTTTACATACGTGTAAAATATGTCCAAAAAAGAGTTTTTGGATGTAACTTTGACACGGTGTCAATGTTACATCCGAATTAATACATTTTTGCTGATATTTTTGTCAAAGTACTTTCAAATGATTTCAAACTTTCTGAAATATTGAAACCCCCTAAGATAAATATATTTTGTTGAGCAATTGTTTAGAATGCATTGATAATTTTAATAATAACCAAATGGATGTAACATGCAATGCTTCCCAACCCTGTGGAATGACCCATATATTAATAAAAAAAATATGAAAGTAAAATAAGCCTGCATTATTCATTGTGTGTGCATATTGCATAAATAATCTGGCGCCATCCCATTCAACAGTTAACAAATAATGTAATACACTGTACATTCAGTGACCTCGACAAAATGGCAAATTCGTGAATAAGGCCCGTACGTTTAAGGCTTTGTATAAGTCGCATGTCAAACCACCATTTGGCGTTGTTCTTAATATATCGGGCATAATAATAATATCGGCAATGTCACATCAAAATATTGAGATGCATATAGCTAGGCCTGTTGCAATTATAACCGTACAATGGTGATTGTTTCCCAGCCGCACGCATATCCTGTACGCCCTAATAGTCCCTATTGTTCTTGAGCAGCAGATTTTATTAGAACTGATCAGTTAACTGAATCATCATTGTTGAATACAGGCGGAAAGTTGGCAGGATTCAGGTTGGGAACGTTGAACGTTATAAAAGTAACTGTTTCTCAGCAACTTCTACGGGTCAGTATAAGCATTACGGTTAATAGGGTTTGTTCTGAATCTTCACCGTATAAACTAACTAGGGCAATCAGGCTGGCGTAGCGGTACTTTCCCCGCCTTCCACGGCTGTGACCCGGGTTCGAATCCCGGCCGCACCAATATGTGGATTGGGTTTTCTGTCCCTACCGCGGAATCCGTGGGTTTTCCTCACAATATTCCTATGGGCTTTTCCTCCCACCTCTAAAACTGTAATTTCTTCTCAGTGTCCTCTCTCTACAGGTTTCTTCGAGCTACAGTGCTTATATAGGGTACTCTTGAGGAATCATTGGTTCCATTACAAGAAAGAAAGAAACTATAGTCACCTGCAATATTTGGGCGAATAGAGGTGTAAATTACAAAATTAGCAGGAAACAGGATGAACGCCAAAGCAAATATTTTTGGTAATAACGATTCATGCGATTCAACAACCACATGTATAAATAACTACAGCATGAACCCCTTCAATGCTTGGGCTTTGGAATTGAGACCAGGAAACCTCATTTTGTGGGAAAGTGTATTCGTTTCTGTGTTATCAATACGTATTTTGTGTTGTCAAAATATTCAGGATACGTGGCATTGCATGTATTTTGTGGTTTGCGTGTCTTATTGATTCAACTTATAAAAAGGGGTGGTAGTTATGCTTGTAAAGTTACACACGCTAGTCATTTACTTCAAAGAAACACGTTAACAGTCAACATACCAGTAAATCGCTTGGTAAAACATCAAACCGAAGCCAACAACATCCAAACCAACCGAATCCAACCAAACCCAACGCAACGCAACCCAACCAAACCCAAAACAACCCAACTCAACTCAACCCGGCACTTTAGCCCAACCCAACCCGAACCCAGCGCAATGTATAATAACCATGGGCGTCGCGAGGGGGGGGCAAGGGGGGGCACTTGCCCCCCCCTGGAAAAGCAAAAAAAAAAAAAAAAAAAAAAGGAAGAAAAAAAAAGAAAAGAAAAGAAAAGAAAAAGAGGCGCGAAGACAAAGTGGTGTAAATTTAATGAGTTGGGGGGGGGGGGGGCAAAATGTCCCTGCCCCCCTTTAAAACTGATAAATCGAGAATGTGTTGAGAAATACAAGCATTTTTTGGCAAAAAAAATTTTTGCCCCCCTCTAGAAAAAATCCTGGCGACGCCCATGATAATAACCCAACTCAACCGAAAAAGCTCAAGACAAACCAACTTTTAAAAGCTATTTTTTTGTTTTCTGTCAAGTAATTTATTAGCTATTGCCGCTCCGTTCACAAGTACCCCCCTCACCGGCAAACAAAGTACAGTTGGGGATGACAGACTGACGCCATCTTGCCTGACTGCAATTTTGCCGCGACCCTCGGCCGTACCACTGCGTTTACAGAGTACAAATCCCCTGGTGTACATGCGTCTCACACAAGGAACGGTGCGCGTCAACCAGCTATAAGTCCCGCCCACGCGCACGGAGCTCATAGCGTTAAATACGAGTTGGTGAAAGCTGGTCGCGGTTTTTTTTTGCAGCACACGTCAATGGACCATGATTATTCAGCTATTTCGATGTTTATTCAGAGGAAAATAAAAACGACGTCACACCATTGCTATCCCTCAGTCATGTGTGTACATTAAAGCGTTTCAAAGAACGGCTTTCGTCGAGCTGCCTGCCACAGTGGCCTAGTAGATAGTGGAATGAACTATGGATCGCATGATGTGTAAAGGATAAGTGGTTCGTACCCGGTACCCGTGGCCATTTCATCAACAAATTTTGTGTTGGCTGGGATAAGTTTAATTGAAGGAAAAATACTACAAGAACCTAAGTGTCTTCCATCTACACAGCGTGATAAAAATTCATGTTAGGGTTCGTAATGTGATTGGTTAAAATACGATGTATGCTGCAGAAAAAAATACGCAAGCTGGTGGTCGTGATATATTTGAGACGGTTTTGAGGTTACTTATTGGTAATTGTTCGGTCGGCCATCTGTTTCGTAAATCCACAGAACGATTTACAAAAGATTTCTTCCAACGCGGAGGATCACCATGTTTGTTAACGCAAGTAGCCCGGCACCCTATACCAGACAGCGAGCTGTCGCTTTACGTAATATCCATTTTATGCTGCGACAATCAGTAATGTTCAAAACTCGATGGCTTTGTCACTGTTGGAAAGACGTTCAGAAAAGGCAAAAAAAAACCAAAAAACAGAAACACCGTGCTAGATGTAAACAACCACGGTATGTCAACCTTTTTCTCTGTAATTGAATAACATGATGTGGATTTTTTTGTGACTGGACATTTGGAATGTGGTGAGTCAACAATCAACAGCTGTTAATTTTGGTGATCGATTGATGATTATTAATAACATTTAATTTCTCACAATTTGTTTTCATTATATAGGTCTCCTTGCTAGGCCGCTTGAGGTCATATTTGGAACGCGCACTGTAGTGACGGTCAGCGGTTTCGTCCTTGGGGTGTCAATTATCATTGCTTCCATCACTACAAGTATTGTTGCATTGACAGTAACACTAGCGCTAGCAGCAGGTAAAGATGTCAAGCGTATTATTTTACTGTTCCTACCTTTCATCAAAAATAAAAAGAGATTTGCATAATTGTATACGCTCAGAGTGAAACTTTACGAATTAGGGTGAAAATCGCTGTAATTTTCGAGGGGAAAAATACATGTTCGGAAAACATTCGATTTTTCACTCTTCGATATGTGTTCTTTGTATGTTTGTTGATTAAAGTTTATTTTGTTGGTTTATGGATTACATGTATCCACCATTATTCGTTTTATCACTGTTTCATGTTTGTGGTCATTGGAATTTATATACAGGGCCGCCAATTGAAATATGTACATATTTTTTCACTGAAAAATTAATGCAAATCTGGGTAACAGAAATGTAATAACTCTTTAGAGGGCAAACGTTATTTTACAAATTAAAGTAATCGTAAAAGAAGAAGAATTTAATTGATTGTTTTGTTATCCAGTGCAATTTACTTACTACCTGCCTCAATGACATATCTTTACTTCAGGACCTAGTTTAAGTGTCGTCCACATTCTGACTAGGTCAGAAATCGGACGCCGTTTCACGACCAACTATGCCACTGCAGTTGGAATTGGGACTTCAGGGGCTGCCATTGGCATGGTCACCGCTGGGCCATTCACTCAACTGTTGCTGGACACGTACGGCTGGAGAGGCGCCTTGCTCATTCTGGGAGGGTTGACCCTGCATCTTGGGGTGTGTGGCGCCCTCTTGCGGCCATTGTCAACGGAAACTCAGATGAACGGCAACTACAGGTCAGTGAGCCCGGACGCTGATGGGGAAACACAGGTGAGTTCGTCAGACGTCCCTGGAACCGACAGCTCGAAGCAGACATCGCGGCTTGGCGCCTTCAAAGACGCCCTCAGCGCCCAGCTGAAACATTTTGGATTCTCGGTGTGTTTTCAGGTTTCATTTTGGATCACAACAGTCGTATTCACATGCAGCCGCTTCGTTTCCGACCATTGGCTAATCTATTACGTTTCTCAGGCCGAAGCCAAAGGCTTCTCCCCGTACGAGGCTGTGACTTTCACCACGGCCGCAGGGGTCGGTAATATCGTTTTCAAGGCCGTGTTTGGTCCAGTCGTAGACCGGGGTTTGTTGAGGATGCGACCGGCGATGGTGCTGATGATCACATTGGGCTCTTTGTCTCTACTGATAACTCCGTGGGTGAACTCCTACTGGCTCATGATGATCGATGCAGTTGTCTATTTTGGTGGGGCTGGAGTACTCGTCGCACTGAACGATCTGTACACCAGGGAGCTGCTTGGTACTGATCTATTGGCGTGTGCATTCGCTTGGATGGAGCTGGTGACCGCCATGTTGAGCTTCAGTCTTGGATTCCTTCCAGGTAAAAATGTGTCATCATGACAAGTTTGTGCCTATCAGGGCCGGTGCGTGCTCAGCACAAAAGTGAACGCGAATTAGTGACGTTTCGGCAAGTATAGGTTATTCGCAGTGCAAATTCGGAAAAACTTGAACACATTTCAACTCCAGTGAATTAGCCAATGGCAAATAACCTATACCCATTGAGAGTTAAATTTGAATAACATCTGGTACACTGACTTGCTCATAATTCTTGGCACGTTTTAACTTTGACTTCTCCAGACCAAAGACACTGTTGCTAATCACATGATTCAGGAAAATCTCTTGCATAGGTGCATAAGAGACGCTCAAAATAAATTGTTCACAATGGGTGAGAATGACACAAAGACACAAGACCATTTCGGAGCTGGGGTTTGCTAGCGTAAGACTATCCCCAAATCACGTGATATATAGCAACAGTTTCTTTGGTTTGGAGAATTCAAAGTTAAAATGTGCCAATCATTCGAGCAAGTCAGAGCACCAGATATTACTAGAATTTAATTCGCAAAATGGCTTACTGCGAACGTTCCGCGATGTCAAATTCGCTTCGCACTCACATTAACATAACATTACTCGCTTGAACTTGAGCATGAACCGGCCAAATGGGGAGAGGATATTAGAAGAGTGTCAGTCTATGATCTCCATTCATAAAAAACGTAACTTAGTTCAACCATTCCTATTGGTCGAGAGCCCGCCACATGGCCGGTTTTAAGCGGTTGATAAAGACATGGCTGGCAGGTCTTAAGCACTTTTCCAGTGTCAAATGAAATTTTGACTCCTATGAAATCCGGTGCCGGCACCGTTCTATTGCTTGAACCTTCACAATCCTCTCGTACGCATGAGCATTGAGCCGCTGTACTGATGACGTCACAATTTGTTTACACGTGCACTTCCCTATGTAGCCAGTCACGGTCCACTGAGCACCATTGAAAAGCACCCACGTAAACAAAGTGTGACGTCATCAGTACAGAGGCTCATACTACCAGTGAGTCAGTATGTCATATTACTACACCTCATAAATATTCCTGATCAAATTCGAGCGCGTCATTGGCCGATTCCGCTGCGCGTACGGGAAATAAAAATGACACGCGCCCAGGTTACGTCATCCTGGTGAGTATCCAGCTCGCTGCCGTGCGGTGTTTTTTTTCTGGTAGCACCAAAACATTCCCTACGGAACCTGCCTCGTAGACATGCAGTCTATGGTATGTAATCTTTACGGAACCAGTCTGTTGTTGTAATCCTTGTTACTACTGCAGTAAAAACACATTAGAGTGTCGGCACCAGACTATTTCATGTACTGTGACGAAGAACTTCAATTGTGCTGAATAAAGACGCAAAATCTACGGAAACCGATATTGACAAGGCAGTGAGGCTACTAAGAATATTTGGAATTACTGGTCCTTCGGTTTAGGTCAGCTTGACTACCTCCCTTTGCTTCGCGTCGGGAGGTAGTCAAGCTGACCAACACCGAGGGACCAGTAATTCCCACTTCTTCCCCTAATTACCATGCTGTATTTGTACAGTCCTAAATTCACACTACATCGGTACGTACGTGTGCAGGTCTGCGCGGTATCGAGCAGTCCGCACGACGCGCGCGCCAATCTCCATATAATAATTTGTGACTTTTTTTACTCTTGTACTTGTGGATCGGATTTTTATTTTGTTTTTTTTACCGAAAATGTATTTATGAATGGGAATACCGAAAATGTATTTATGAATGGGAATAAATTTGTGCTTGGTCGGTATTCAACACTCTGTTTAAGACCGGTTGGAGTCTGGATGCTGATAATTATCCTCGCCTCGAGTAATTATCAGCATGCAGACTTCAACCGGTCTTAAACAGAGTGTTTAATACCTCCCACTCACTTAGGTATTCCCTTATTGAAAACTTAAATGTGTAGTTTCGTCACCTCACGCACGCCAAGTGTGTCCGTCTAGTTTACATGGTATCAAGCTGTACATCTCTCACTTTCTGCTCTCTCTCTAAAGCCCGGTTCATACTTCACGCGAAAGCAAAATTCGTGACGTCAACAATACATTCAAAGCGCGTCCACCATTGTTGACGACATGAATTTCGCTTCGCACATGCGTTCGCGTGAAGTTTGAACTGGGCTTAACGTCAAAACACGTAATTCACTGTGGAAATAAAATCAACAAGAACACGAAATAAATCAATTGCATTGCTATTGCGGTATCTAATTAAAATACAGAAAGTTTCCCACCAATGGGCTCATGTGACGAGGTTGGTTATTAGGGCCTGGGGTTGAGTTTGAAGAATCGGGCGCTATCAATGTTCGTAGTCTTATAATACGACGTTGCTAAAAAAAAGACATACATGTACACGGTAATGAGATGTTGATGATATTCAAATTGGCCAAGCGCTGTTATTGTGTACTTTATGTCTACAGTATGTTCTCAAAGGTGTCCCTAGCATGCTACCAGTCATTTGTCTGCATGGATAATGCAGTTCTCTACCATCACGTGGCGATTGATGCATAGCCGTGAAGGGGCATTCATTTTACGACTGAATTGTATGAGTCACGAGTCACCACGCTCGAGTCCGAGTCATCATGGTCGAGTCCTTTTCCAATGAGACTCGAGTCGAGTTCGAGTCCCTAGACTCGAGTCTTACAACACTGCCAAAAAGTGTATCACTCATATCTTTAATCCTCTTTTTGTTGTAGGTTGGATGTACGACCAGACTGGGAGTTTCGATTTGGCTTTCCTCATCTTGGGATGTATATCATTTCTGCCGTTGGTGGCGCTAATAGCGGAATGGGTCCTAGGAAGATGTAAATCGCAGCAGGACGCTTAGTTTAGGCCGTACGTATCCGAATTACTTGGCTACTGCTTGTACAATAGCACATTGTGCCTAAAAAGAAGCGGTTGACGCAAATTTGCATAGAGTTCCCTAGCCCCGAGCCTAGTACCAAGAACCAGCTGTTTATTGTATTAACTGCAGGGACATATCTGCCGTGAGTCAGCAGGGCAAGCATAATCAATCATCATGTTACTAGAACCGGCAATGAACTTTGAGATACACCCCTCAACGGTTGGTGGGGTATCGAGTGTACTACAGAGTGCAGTAACATTCCCGCATCTGCAAAAACAGAGTGACATTATGTATAAACCGAGGGTTAATTTCTCAAGCCTCGGCTTTGTCATCAGCTGTGGCTTCAGCACCAGCCTTCAGCTAAATCAATTCCCTGATTCCGGCCGTGATTATAGTTCCTGGCCTACTGCGTGGGAGACACGGGTTCAGAATCGAGGTATGCTCAATTTTTTTTGACGATCAAAGGCTTTGGTTTGCCTTTTAACAAGATAACTCAATACGTTTTGGACGGATTTGCACACATAATGAACGGCCGTTATGGTTCAACAGTCTGAAGTTGTCGCAACTCTCTCTATAGACAGCTCTGCTCCTGGTCATCGCGGCTTGGCCGTTGCCCAGCCGGGTATTTCTCACGCCCCACCGAAGGGTCCCACATATGGCACAATAATGGCCGGGTTTTGATTAGTCTAATTGGTGGAGGTTTGCGCTCTCTGGGTGCTTTTTTAGTTTAGAAAATAATGAATTCCTTTTTGAAGAGTTTCATTGAAAACTGAACCAATTTATACCTGGTAATTCAGTGAAGAATTTATTCAAATGTTGACAATGTATACGTTATTACATTATATGTGACTTTTGCGGTAAGAACGTGTATCAAATGTATTTTAGGACGTTGTGTGATTTATCTGTGAATAAAAAATAATAAATTACTGAAACAGAAATAAAATATGACTTGAAGCTTTGCATGACGGATAACACAAAATTTGCGGGGAACATTATGTGGAAAGATATCTCTTCTTTGAAGAAGTCAATTGCATGTAAAGGGTTTTTATCCCTGCATATCGGAAAATTATCAGCGGAGGACAGCTGAAAATTGTTTATATGAAAAAAAGAAAATAACTTGTGATGAGAATAGAAAATAGAATCTCCATCATCCATCTCCATCATCCATTTCCATCTCTGCACAATCTTGTAAATGCGAGAGGGGCACTTTTGTTCTTGACTGGCAGTATTTCCATGACAAGCGGAGACAATTTTATTTGTAGCGTAGGCCTACGTATGCTTTCATGCGTGTGCGCTTGAAGGGTGCTTTTTCATCTCGAGATAGGGGCACATTTATTTCCGCGAGATGGGCTCTTTTGTTGGCCTGGGGAAATGGGGGATCCCCCCGGTTCCGCCGCCCCTGTTAATTGGTGCTTTCGATAGCAGACGGCAGAATTATAAAACCGGTAAGTCTCTGTTGCGGTGTGATGGTGAACTAGTAAATAATTTATTAAATGATCAAACTATTAAATTTATGATGCCACATAAGTCGTAAGAAATTGCTTCAAATCACACAACAGAACATCTAGAATCCATTTTTTTCGGGGCCCTTAAGCGGGCCCCGAACCCCACGCCGTAAGGGCTTTGCGCTTCGCGCTTGCATCAGTTATGATCAAGGTATGTCCCCCCCCCACACTTTTGAGAAGCGATTGACGCCCCTGCTTGACGCCCCCCCCCCCCCCCCCCCATGAAATCACACAACAGAACATCTAGAATCCATTTTTTTTCGGGGCCCTTAAGGGGGCCCCGAACCCCACGCCGTAAGGGCTTTGCGCTTCGCGCTTGCATCAGTTATGATCAAGGTATGTCCCCCCCCCCCACTTTTGAGAAGCGATTGACGCCCCTGCTTGACGCCCCCCCCCATGAAATGTTCCAGCCCCCCCCCCCCCCCCCCCCCCCCCCCCCCCCCCCCCCCCCCCCCCCCCCCCCCCACTGAAAATTTCTGGCTACGCCACTGCATGGTGTCCAATTCACCATGCAATTTCCATGGGGTCCCATGGAAGAAAAATCCCATCGGAAATACATGGGATTTCTGTAAGGGGTGACGAGACATGGGGTAGCGACTGGGAACGAGTCTGGCTCGTTGATTTACAGGTCTGCAGATGACGTAATTATTTTGTCTACCTTTATCATAAAATAACAGGTAGCCCGCTCATGAAAATTATCTTACTTCATTGTTTTCCTACAGAGTACGGACCGTGTAGACTGAGAGCAAGTATACGCGATTGTGACCAATCTGCTGTTCGTACGCTGTCGCCAGGGGCTTCTACCCATGCCTTGCGGTCGCGCTCACTGTATAAAAAAGATCTGCGCGGAGCGGAAAAATTAGTCTTTTTGGAATTGGTGTTCGATACAGTACGAGTTATTCCAGTGACAATTTGTGTTGGTAAATTCGACCGAGTTGCGTGAGTTCAAGTCAAGCCAGAGGCCCGTGGTCTACAGACGCGGACTGAAGTAAGTAATTCTTTAGTTCGGAGTGGTACTTCGGTATAGTCTTCGGAGTCGTACTCCGCTTTTAGTTAGCGCGTTTGTAGCAGAATTGGTCGCCGTGGTTTCCCCGTTGCCCAGGCTATAGTGCACGCTGATCGTACTGTTTCGTAGGATTATAGAGACTTGGGAATTATTTTATAAGGCAGTGTGGTAGAAACTTGGTTCGCGTGGTGAGGAATTGAGTGCGTGCATTGGTTACAGCCCGATAGTCCGAAGGTTCGTTAGTCCGAAGGTTCAATAGTCTGAAGGTTCGAAAACCCGAAGGTTCGATCAAAGGGCCTATAAGTCCGAAAACAGAAAAAAAGGTTAATTAATCCGAAAGTTGGATAGTCCGAATAGACGATAGGGCTCTATAGTCCGAATCGGCAATAAGGTTCGATAATCCGAATAGATGATAAGGTTCGATAGGCCGAATATACAGTAAGGTTCGATAGTCCGAATTGACATTAAGGTTCGATAGTCCGAATTGAGAATTCGATAGTCCGAATGGGCAATACGGTTCGTCAGTCTGACACTTCGGATTTATAGCACAATTGGTGACTGTTTTATGCATTAAGTCAGCAAACAGTAAATAGTCGTCTGGTATTCAACAAAGAGTCGTCGGATCTCCGCTCGAAATTTGTTAAATTGTTGGACAAAATGACGGCCGTCCGATGCAATTTTAAAGAAAAACGAGCTCCCAGTGGACTGTGTAGCTTCTTTGAAATTTCAATTGCAGTATTCCAGACTAATTCATAATTATTCAATGAATTTTCTTTTTACAACTTTACACACATTGCCTCGGTATTATAATCTCGTTTGACGGTGATGTTTATGCCACAAAACTGGCTAAAAACGGACTCTTCTTATTTTGCGACGACCACTAGACACGTCGTAGCTTGCGACGTGTTTTAAGCCGTTGTCAAGGAACTTACGAGGCGTTCAACACATCACAACTTTCGTGAAATGGATTATACGACGCGTCGCGAGTTGCGACGTGTTAAACGTCGTAACTCGAGCTGCGACGCGTCGCAGCGCTTTGTGAAATCGGGTGCTGGCCGGTAGTAACGATCCTCCACTGCACGGTGCAAGGATTAAGGTGCACCCTATATTAAACTCTTCGCAAATTGAACTTGACGTTGAACCCTCGGGTTGTAGTTTTTATGTTCTGAGATATCCAAGTGTGAAATGTTGTACACAAATTGACTGTTGTATAAATGATCATAGGAACAATGATCTTTGTGAGACCAAATATTTGGTTTTGAAGCTTGTGACACATTTGTTGTATTTTTTGCTATTGGCGGTTGCCGTGTGCTGACTGTGCTGTCTGAAAATTAAGTTTATACACCCTTCCCACTGAAGGACTTCTTGTGTATTTGGTAAACACTGCAAATAAGTACTAGATATGTGTACATTTGGACTTTATTTGTGATAATGTTAAATCGAGAGCCGGGGTACAACCAAACCGGAGGAATCCTGACCTAAGATTCGTCAGAATATGCCTAGGAATTAGACATTGCTCTGCGTTCTGTTAACCAAACTGAAACTGCAATAAGATGATGCAATAAAGGCTATACGTGCATTTGTTGGTAATGCAATTTTATGCACATGTTCTTGTCTTGAAAGAGCAATCTGGAGCCTGCATCGATCGTTATGGCTGTTTGTAAATTCAAATGTTTGCAAAAAAGTGCACTTGGCCTTAAATTACCAGGTGCAGTGCAATGCAAATTTAAATGTTTGCAAGGAAAGTGCATTTGGCCTTTAATTACCATTGGAAATTCGGCATAATGTATGCAATATTGTCATGATATTATTCATGAGCAGAGTGGGGAAGATCCATTTACGCACGGGTTGAGTCGTAATAAAGTTAACAAAAAGTGTAAATGTTCACCCTCAGACCACCACTGGGTCTCACCGGTTTCGCAATCCTGCGGTCTTACGACAAAAACACTATTTAATTAGTATACGAGTCACCATACGGCAACTGTTTATATATGATTCCTACACGGCAGACTCGAAATTTCTGGCTCTAGATGCAAGAATTCCGCTGGGGTATTTTTTGTTTTTAAGTCAAAACAAACTGCAATTGACACTTCAACAGAAGGAAATGCCTTTACGTGTCGTAACATGGCAAACAAAGAATTATCTAGACAATAATTCACCCTCACATGCCCCATCACTGAGTCTGACGATAAGTGTCCATTGCAGTTTGTTTGTGTGTAACTTCAAATTGACCCCAGCGGCTTTCTTACATCTAGCGCCCGAATGTTCAATCTGAGAGTTCATCCGTTTAGGAATCACTATGTAGTGATACACTAATGCATACCATCACGAAGATTAGGGCTGTCGACACAAGAAGGCAGAATTACAAGCAACACCGGTCAAATTCAGTGCTGCAATTTTGCTTATTTTGCTTTCTTTTTAATGGAAAACAAACTGGATATTGTCACTGATTACATACATTTTGCATTCCTTTTTCGTAATAGCACAATAGGTTCCTAACCGAGCGCTATTTCATCAAGATTGTTAGATTTTTGAAGCGTTATGTCACGTGCCACCAAAAACACTCGACGTATCAAAAAGCTTTGTGCATATACCTTAATGATCTAGCTACAAAGGACCAGTTCCCAGCGAGGCCATCATTGAGACTTTTGACGTCTCATCTTTGTACACTAACATCCAAAATGAGGAAGGTATTCGTTCTTGCTCCTCGGCCCACACCACCCCTCCTAGTAATATTGGCACCCTTATGAGACTTGTGACTTAGAACGATGTTTCCTTTCTGGCAGTAGCGTATTCAGAGGGGAGAGGGGGGGGGGGGGTAGAGGGGGCACTCTGCCCCCCCCCCCGAGGATTTGTTTTCACAATTTTGTTTGTTTAGCAATTATTTCAATGAATGGTTACAAAGTTCTGACATCAATCCCAAAAAGAAAACCCGCTCAAAAACCATTACAATGCGTCGTGAAAATGGGTATACAATTTTCAGCATGCAAAATAATGATCAGTTTTGAAGAGCGTCCAATGATGAATGTTGGTACCAGCCCCCCCCCCCCCCCCCCCCAAAGCTGGATACGTTTCTTCCTAGGTCAACACAATCTCCACGTTCATGAAACAGCAAGGCGTATTTTCGCATGGCCCCTCCAATACATGCCTCTTCATGGGTGACCTCGAAGAACGAATGCTGGCCACAGCACCATGTCGTCCCTGGATCTGGTGGAGATATATTGACCATGTATTTTTCATCTGGACCAGTCCGGTGACTTTCACTAACCACACTAATTCCTTCCACGGGACCACTTTCACATCATAGAGTACTCATCAGACGAACATCCTGGGCGTCACCATCCGCAAGGGAAATAACTCAATGACCACCGGATCTGTATTCTAAACCCGCAGACGCCCAGCAGTACCTCCATTCCTACAGCTGTCACTCTAGGCACTGTGAGACAGGAACAG